CTGTGTCAGTTGTCGGCCATACCAGCAATATTAATATTGGATATTGACATTGGCCCAAATGTTCATAATGGTGAATCCCTACTATTTAATTATTTATGTTTTAAAATGTCATCAGATCTTCTGAGACACTGACCCACATCCACAGCTTAGTAAATCCCAAGTTAATTAATATGCTTGCACCATTATTCTTGTCATGAACAGTTTTATCTCTGCCTATGCCTAACAAGCTTTGCTGCAGGATTCCATTTTAATTGAGCGTTCAGGATTTTCTCCTCCTGTAGGTTCCACCCACATCCTCACACCCCCTAGATACCTTAAGGATCTGCAACACCCAGACTTCCTGGATCCCAACGCCCTACCAGAGGGCGTAGAGGAATCACCGGCACAATAAAAACACATTCTCAAGTAAATATTTAAATGTTATGTTCCCTTGTGTTAGCTGCTGGCTGTCTGACAACCCTCAGCACTGTTTCCTTCACTTCAGTGTGTGCTGCTATTGATGTTGGCTATGTTTTCCCAAGGTCTTTCCAACACTGACCCCGTCACATTGATGGCTCAGTAATTACTGGTTTATTCAGCTGCAGTGATCACTTTTATAAAGAACTTATAAAAGTGATCACATACGTATAAAGACAGCCTCTTATAACAAGAATCTGTGGAATATCAGAGTTGAATATTCACACATGTGGAACCAATCACCCTAAGGATAAGGCATCACCGCAAACACAGAAATGTCATGCTTTTCAAAATTTATGAACATCAGAATGAAGTAAAGTTAATAATGAACATTTAAAAAATTTTTTTTTTATATTTTACATTTCTGAAAGACCTTTCTGAAAAAATATGAACATGCTTGTGAGGTGTGCCATCTGGTAACTTTTTGAGCTACCCAATATGTTTCAGCCAGGTTACCGAACTCATTTGACACCAAGCATGGTCAAATCTACACTTTTCCCATATAATTTACAGTAAGTCAAAAACCAAATGTTCATTCTGTAAAAATGGAACATATTTAAGAAAATACCAGATCAGTTTATACTCGTATCAGGTCACCTCAGCAACATGGCCAACTGATTAGCTTGAAACAATTTTTTGATGAAAAGCAAATACTTGTTCTGTGACCAGCTATGCTGTTGTTTGTGCTATGAAAAAGCTACAACCTTTCAGATTAAATTTTATTACAAGAATTATAGCTTCACACTCCAAAGATTTCCTAAGAACTACAGTTCCACATCTGTTGTTTTGCAGGGATTGTGCTCTCAGACATGTTGCCAACGCTGTGTTACTGATTTCTACAGCACAGACACTGTAAGATGAACAGAAAATCCCTTTGTAAGCTTATTTCACCTTCCTGTGTTGTTCAGTGTTTTCCTGGTTTCATTCCCCTGTGTGCTTGTTCTGTGTCTCCAGTGGCATCTGGAACAGTTTCTTTGCTTTATATATTTTTTGTTGGTTCTGATCATTGCCTATCCATTTAACTCAACCTACTTTCTTTTTGAGGTTATTTCTTGCTGTAATGGAAATTTTATTTATTTTTTCTGTTTATGGATAGTCTGATAAATAGCATAATTTGTCCTGAAGTTATTACCAGGATAAACAGCATCAAATGTTCTGTTGTACATTTGATGTCATGCTGAATGAGTTTTGGTATGGAATTATAAACTCTGTCATGCTCTCTGACCTGCTGTAACAGTGTAATACATTTAAGTCATGTAATACATCATATAAAGTAAATAGACTATGCTCTTGCCTCCAAATATTTATCATTCATAGTCATCAAACTATGAATTTCCCTCCACTCCCGAAGGGTTGGAGGTTTCCGTCAGTAAGGGATCCATTTCTCTGATTTGGTTTTGCTCCCTTGCTGATGAGTTTTCCCCAGATTGTTACTTTTAAAGCAGAACCAGCATGTGTTGTTTTCTGAACAACTGGAACAAAATTAGCTCTTCCTTTGGATGCATCTGGGTACTTCCAATCCCCATTGACATCACTTAACACCGGTACCTGCAACACTCTGACATTAACTGGTTTCCAGTCCTTGAGCCAAATTTGATTCTTATCACAACACAATTGGTACATCCTATAGCATGAGGTCATAACTCAGCTGTTGAACCATCACAACCTCACTCTTGATCAAACTCAACAGATTATGTCCTCATTCTGTTTCTAATCATGCATTCTGCTGCCATTAACTTAACGTATTAATGTCAGTGACTTTATTTAGAATTTCATTGAGCCTAATTTTATTCCTGTAAGATTTATGTCACACTTAAAAGATGAACATGGTGGTGTGATGTAGTGGTGCAGGTTTAAAGCACAACCCATATATGGAGGCTTTAGTCCTCGACTCAGACGTCACATATTCGAGTTCCGGCCTGATGACCTTTGCTGCATGTCTTCTCTCTCTCTCATTACCCACTTTCCTGTTAATTCACTATCAAATAAAGGCCACTAGAGCCAATAGAACCTTTTAAAAAAGATGAATATGGCAGATTATTCATGGTGTCATGGTCCTAATAGGTTTATAGTCAGGGAATGACAAGAGGTATTTAGAGTTTTATTGTTGGTTATAATTAACATAAAGAGGTATAGTTAAACTATAAACCAGCAAGCATGTTAAGGGATGAGTGGGAATGAGTCAGCTCTGCAGAATAATCAGAATCTTAAAGAGCATCTCAGACTTTGGTGCTGGATTCTGAAAGATGTTTTTGAAACACTTTGAAAATTCTTGAAATCCAGTTCTTTCTAGGTCAGACACATTATGACATCAGACGCTCATTCTTAAAATGTCACCTTCTTAAAATCATGGTCTAAATCATAAAACAAAAAAATGACTTTTGGCAATAAATGACTTTTGCCGTTATTTTGGGAAGGTGACAATATGCATGTTTGAAACTGATCAGCATGGAGCTGCTAACAGGAAAAGGTTAAAGCCTGTTTGATTTTGCTCAGGTCTCTTAATCACACAGACATTCTGATATCACACTGTTTTCCTGTCCAGTTTCAGTCAATATCTTAGTGTTACAAAATGCATTTGAAGACCATTGGATTTCTGTTTATCAGAGTCTCCAGATAAAGATGCTGAAAAGTAACCCTGTATTTTCCTGTGTTTTCTCAGGATCAACAGAAATCCTCACCCCGTCTTGCCTTCTTAAAACCCTGAAAGATTTGGAGAAGGGAGAGCAGCCCAGTTAACGTGTTCCTTCATCAGCCCCCATAAGTCAAACCTTTGTGCAGCCAGTGTTAACCCCCAGCCTAAACGTAGCACTTCATGTTGTATACTTTTGAGCCACTGTAACGTGACGCTGTTGTTTAAATGATAGGTTTGGTGGATTTGCTGTGCTGAATTTTGCTGCAGTTTGTTTGTGGCATATAGGGAATTTATGATGATTGAATAAACTTGTGATTTAGTTTAGATAATAAGATGGCATGTCATGAATAACATATTTATTCAGAGATTAATTTGTAACAAAACAGTTGTGTGTTTCTTAGGAGCAAGCAATGATATAAATATGCAGAATCATGATATTTCATGTGCGATGACGTGTTGAACCACATGGGACAACAGAAAGCCACTCTCATAATGGTTTAATTCAACTGCCACCATTTAGTTTGTATTTTCTTCATAATCAGTTGTGTTTGTAGTGTTTAGTTACCTTTTAGCTCCAAGAGTTTGCTCCTAATGCTGCTGTTGGGTTTCATTGCACTGTAACATTTTATTTCAAATCTATAAGAGAAGACTGATTTCCTGACAAACACTAAACAATGCTGCTGTTATTGTTTTAACATCTGCAGTTGTGAAGGAGCTAATAAATTTGTTTCAATTAAAATCTAGTTTGGTTTTTGTGAACGTCCAATCATTAACTCCTCTGATTTCATGCTTGGTGTTTGACCTCTGACCTGCATTGTTAACTATGGGACAGTAAACAGGTGTGTGCCTTTAAAAATAAAGTACAGATTTATAAAAAAAAATAGTTGAGACTATTCCTTATTCCAGTGCATGAATGTTTTATAGAATGAAGTCTAAACACATTGAGTAATTGAATAAGTTCAAAGCCAAAACCTTATATTAATATTGTTTTACTTGTAAGAATGAACAACTGTAACTTTGGTTTCAAATAATTAGAATCATGGATGATTCCTGTTTTCTTTTCAGAAGAACGCATAATTACTTGCATTATGATAACTAATAAGTTATGGTTATCATAATATTATAAATGAATGCTAAATCAGAAGCTAATGAGGTTATAGATGTGATTTTGATAATGAACTTGAAATGATGTAAAAGGTGTAACTTAAATGAAAGTTAAGTTGATTAACTTTGATTAAGTTAATCAAAGTTAGATAGTAGGTAAATGTTAGGGAAAAGGGGAACTAAAAGGAGAGCAGAGATGACCAACAACTCAGTTTGCTGATTTAGAAATAGATTGTTGAGCAACTCAAACTGTTGAAAGAAAAAGATTGTGCAGGTAGAGGGTGTAGGGTGACCTGGGAACAATCCCAGGACATGAACACAGACATGTCATAATCTATCTCTTTGTTCTGTATTTAGTTCAGTCCTTCATGGTTTGGGTCCCAACAGTTAAGTTTGATTAGTTTAACATCAGCTCACATAACATTTTGCATGTAGGTCATAAAGCTTTTTATTCTAATCTGCACAGAGCATTTTTGGCTGCTGTTTCCTGCAAATTTTAAAAAGAACACCTTATGACTTTCTTAACTATGTCTTCTTGTGTTTCTTTCATAAATATAATATACTGTAATACATTAACATTCTGTTATTGAGATGGTCCTGTGGCTGTCACTACATTGTATTAGGATTTAAAAGTATTATCCTTAGAAATCCTTCTGGGTTCAGAAGATGAACTTGGTTTGGATCACTACTGTACAGACATGAAGATGTAGTTGCCTATAAAACCAGAGGAGAGAGCCCTTGCCAAAGTGATGAGAGCCACTGAAACCATCTGACAAATGAAGCTCTTTCATTCCAAGAGCTTTGAGGCATGTGAACTATGTCTTAATAAAAGCACTATTTATAGGCTTGTTTCCTTCTACAGCTGCATGGATGATTTAATCAGCATGATAAAAATGCGAAGGAGCTTTTGAATGTCCCAGTACTGAAGCCACAGGATAGAAGATGTCACTGATTATTCTACCTTTCTGTGTGATCTCAGATCAGAATGATGCTTAAATAGCATCTTAAAAACTGAATCTCAACAGAGATCCTCTTCTGCAGTCTGTGTGGTGCAGCTTATTCGCTATGAGTGTGCTCAAGGCCAGAAGAAGAGAGGGAGTAGAAGATGTTATGAGTCATTCAATGCTATGGAAACCAGTAGTTTCCAGACTCATCCACCACTGCTGGGCAGCTCATTGCACAACTAAGCGCTGGCTTATATAAGCAGACCATTGTGTCAAGTTCACACCAAAGGATTTCCATAATGCTTTTTGAATTGGTACATTTTATTCCCATGTCTTTAACTGGGTCTTTAATTTGTCTCTGTGCTTACTAATGAGCTGTGTTCAGAGAAAACAGTTTGAACACTGTTTAGTTTTTCCAGAGGGCTGTTTCACAAAAGTAGGATTACAAAATCCAGGATAAGAGATAAAGCCAGGCTTGACTAACGCCATCAGTTCATCCCAGTTTTATCAGAAGGAGCGACTATGTCATGCTAGGCTTAAGTAATTCAAGTGAATTAACAGATTTCTTCAGTAGACCATGAGATTGATCACAGATTCACAGGTGCCACGTTAAACATATTGCGTACGCTATATTCCCCACACCAAATGAACATCTTTTAATGGCGGATTTTGAGGAATTAAAGCAGAAAATACTCAATAAGAAAAAAACAAACAAACAAACAAAAAAAAAAAACACATGCTAAAGCAGATCGATTTAACAGTCTTAACTAAAAAAACATCATAATCATACCGGTCATTTGAAACTTTAGCCTAGTAAATGAACAATGGAAGTAAATATTATAACATGTGAATCTGAATCAGCAGATTAATTCATGTTACTCTTTTTTTTTGTTCCACATCTAATTTCTAAACAAAATAAATTGTTGATTTCAGGAAAAATCAGCCAAGTCACACAATCCTCCTCATCAATGATGCTGCAGTGGAGCAGATAGAGAACTTTACATTTCTGGGGATACAGATCACTGACACTTTGACCTGGTCCCTCCAAACCTCTGGTCTGGTGAAAAAAGTTCAGCAATGTCTGCACTTTTTACGTCGAATGAGAAAAGCAAACGTCCTCCCTCTCATCCTCACCATAGAGGAATAATAGAGAGCAAACTGACCAGCAGCATCTCTGTCTAATTTGGAGCATGCAACAACCTCAGACTGGCAGCGTGTAGAGAGAGTGGTGAGGACGCTGAGAGCGTCATCGGGACTGAGCTTCCTTCCTTCCTTGACACCGCTCCCAGTCGCTGCCTGGCCAGTTATCCACTGGTTTTAGAGTGGATAACTTGAATCCAGGGCTCCGCCAATCACAAAGACCCTTCTACCCTTCTAGATTTATTATTACTTATTTATATTATTATTGGAGCCTTGCAACAAAATTTCTTTCAAAGTGTAAATTTTTAAATGTACAATTGAATGACAATAAAATCTATGTCTACGTCTTATCGATACATGATTGTATGATTTTGCAGTATCTGGGCAGCATGTGTGCAACAGACTGCCGACCTGTCCAGGGTGTACCGCACCTCTCGCCCGGAACGTTAGCTTGAGATAGGCACCAGCAACCCTTCCGACCCCACTAGGGACAAGGGTGTAAGAAAATGTATGTATGTATGTATGTATGTATGTATGTATGTATGTATGTATGTATGTATGTATGTATGTATGTATGTATGTATGTATGGATGGATGGATGGATGGATGGATGGATGGATGGGGCAGCATGTGGATAAAATGTTGACTACAATGTGAAAATGACTTACTGATAACTTAGAGGGTATAAGTCCTGCTGCATAGTCTTTATTTACTTTAGCCTATGACTATTTGAGTTATGATGCTTTTATTTTGAAGGGGCAATAACTGTCAGCTTAACAGCAATCAAAAGACAGAAGACAAATTGTATCGGGTTATAAAATGTATCTTGCTAGCAGCTCCATTAGCTAAGACAAAAGGCATGCTTATAATGTAAACAAGTATTTCTTTAAAACGTTGTGTGATTTAAACTCTGTATTTGTTTAATTATATGCCAAAAGTAAAGCTAATTCATGTTGTGAACGTTATTATAAGTTACCGTAAGTTAAAATTCATCTGCAAAGTATGTAATGTATGCTACAACTAATATGACTTGATTTGACTGCAATACATTTTTTATAGTGATTTCTCTGATCCAAATAACACTGTAATGGTCTATTTGTTGGCCTTTCTGTCAAACTACAACAGCGGTCTTCAGAAACAAAATTGAACAGTAAATGATTAGTGATTAAAAAAGACCAGAACAGACAGATAAGAAAATGGAATCACAGACACCTTGCAGGATGGACATTCAGAAACATTGGGTTTCTGAAGGTAACCCAATGTTTCCTTCAGAATTGCTGAAGTTCTCCACAGCATGCGTTCAACAAAGGGTTAGAAACATTCCTAGAGATTTTAGTAGGATAGCATCATTCAGTCACTGCAGAGTTTTTGGCTGTGCATCATGTCATAATTGTCCTGTTGGGTTGGGATCTGGTGACTGTGGTGGCAGTTGCAAGTCCAGTGAGCTCATCGTCACGGTTATTTTACCAGCTTCAGATGATTTGAGCTGTGTGACATGGTGCATTATCTTGCTGGCAGTAGCCACCATAAGATGGGTGCACAGGGTGATTTTGAATGAATGATGAATTATGTGTTACTCTTCAAAAAGGGGAAATAATATAAAATATAATCTGCAGCTACAACACATAAAAGCATGTGAAACAGATGAATAAGGTAGAAATAGTGATAGAGAAAAAATCTGAACAGATGCAAATACCACTAAGCAAACTAAAAACCACAAACAAAGCTTAAAGTCAGTTAAAGCAACATTCCTTCTGTACTTCCTGATACATCCACAGTCGGAGAGTCATCTAATAATCTCAGCATGTAATACAGACCTGAGTTGTCCTTAAAGTCAGTGATGAAGAGGATGAAGAGGAAGAACGAGAGCTCTGTTTTAAGTTAAGTTCAGCTAACAAATGGTCACTAGGATGCTATTTGCATGAATGTCTGGGAGCTTCGGTGCAACAGGCAGACTGTGTAGACCTCATAATTGGCATACTGATACAAACACTGACATAACAAAATGCTACCTGATGTTGGCACTTTAGATATTCAATAACTTTATCAACCTTTTCAACTTTTCCTGAAACTGCAGTCATCCATGTTCCATTAGGACATGGACATGACAGAAGTATTATTCTAACACAGTCCATGAACGGCCTGCATTGGCCAGCTTTCTCTCTTTGGTTGAACCCTTATATATATATGAAGGCATAATAAGCATAAGCAGGCCTTTTATTGAATGGAAAAGGGAGGTGAAATCCCTATTGAAAGCAGACTATTTCCTGGTGTATTTAGAGTGGATAACTTGAAGTGACGATCTCTGCTGTTAGCAATGAAGTACCACAATCTGGCTTGGGTTTGTCAAAACGCTGTCAATTATACAATATAGAACTGAGATCTTATTAGAAACTTTATTGTGTGCTTATAAACTTAATGCACCTTAACTGAAGTATTATGATGCAATTAAAGAGGATTTTTCATTTTTCATTTGCATCAAACACCTGCAGTGGAATGTTGAAGAGACATGAATTAACTGGCACAGAAATGTTAAATAATAGTCCAACAGTTTTATTATTTTTGTAAATACACCTCTATAAATCTATGTGCAGTCTCTATATGTAGTATCTATTACTGTGTAGTTTATATGTTTCATTGAAATGGCACATCATCAAACCAACACTTCAGATATGAATCAGAATCTTCCTTGACTCAAAAACATTTTAAAATATATGTTTTATAGTAATCATCTCAATGTGACTGTAGCTGGAATACATCACTGCATTTCAAGAAGATAATCACAAAAAAGCAGACTCATCCTAAAATATAATGTAGCAGTATATATTCTAATAACATGTATTCTGGCTGGAACTTCATTAGATTATTGCCACAGGTGGCGTGTGATGCAAATAAGCCACCTGCATTAAAAGTCTGAATCTTTTAATAGATTTAACTTTTAAAAACATTTCTGTTGTGGATTGTTTCTAGTGTACTATTTTAAATTCTATATATTTTTGGCTCGTACAACTTTACCTACATACTTTTATAATTGAATCTGCAATATAGCTGCTAATTCAAAGAATGATACTATTGCAAAAATATGGAATATCTACAAATGACACAAAACAGTTTTGCTTACCAGCAAACACTTCTAGATAAGTAAAATGTATATTGTCATAATTAATGACTTTACATTTTTAAATCAGATCAAGCATTGTAAAAGATAATAATAAAAAAGTCTAAATTTAATATAAATTTTAGACACTCAAAACTCAAGTTACGTTCTTAGAGTTTTAGAATCCTTTCCATTCTTTCAGCTGACTTCTGTCTTATCAGTTTCCTGTCAATCTGCAGGTGCAGCAGCTCATTAAGGTCTGTAAGCTCTTGACTGCATCCCTGTTTTTGCATGATTGGGCTTATGTGGGTACGGTAATTGTTTTAAAAACGTAAATAAATACAAAGTGGCTTCACTGCTTTTTCTTAGGATTGAGTAATTTCCCACAGGGAACCCTATTGTAATTTTTATCTGTGCAAATTTTTATTCTTCTCTGCTAATCTGGTTTGGGCATATGGTTGCATGTATAGACAAGACCGTTTTAAAGTTGAGGTTAACATTTTCTATTGAAAGAGTATTGAATCTATGGATATGATCAAGGGCTCCGCCAGGAATCTTGGGCCCGGTGTCCAAAAATTAAATTGGGCCCCTTCTGCGCAGCTGCTGTTACATTTTCTGGAGTCTATCTGACCCATCCAAATCGTCACAATTTTGACGGCTTGCAACTGCCTTGCTTTCTTTGGTCCAAAACTAATACTACTTCAATATTTACTTCCAGCTAATTTTCACATGCAACAGTCCGCATACTGTGTGCAAATAGGTTGCTTAGCTTTTTGAAGTTAGTTTTAGCTTACTGAAAGGTCTCTACTCACCACCAACAGTCACAGGAGACGTAAAATATACTCAAAGCAATCTGGACTTCTCAAAAAAGGCTATGTTGTTGCATTTTGTTCAAGCTGCTCTATATAACTTTAATTAAAAAAATGTCTTCTCCAATTTTGTTTTGTTTTGTTATGTTTTTTTATTATCATTTTATAAAGATTGTTTGAATTTCTGTCAGTAATAAATATGTTGTTTTTGTTGTGTAACTGTAAAAAAAGCAGAGAGACAGAAGAAATCCCCATGGACTCCCTGGAATGATGCTTGTCACTGAACACAGTGTTGCTCCCCTTTTTCACTGGGACAGAAGCGAGGTTTTATTTTGATGTCTCTAACAACACTTAACAACAATGAGCACTAACTCATCTGTTAAGTGTGTTAAAAGGTACAGGGACAAGTTAATTATATGAATAGATTTTTTTACTGCTAAAAACAAAACAAAAAATATATATACATTTTGTTACTGACAAGGCCCCCAAATTGTTTCCTATTTCAATAGGAAAATAATAACAATAAAAAAAATAAACAACTATTTTGTGGGAGAGCCCCTTGTCAGTCAGGGCTATTGGAATTGTCTTAAAGTTTCCCCCCTAATCTCCGCTGCTCTACGGACCTCAGTTAGCATGCTAAATGTTACCGTTAACAGCAGCAATATAGGCAAAGGATGGGCTGAATATGACTTGTTTAAAAGGTTTGCCAAAAGAAAACCTCCTCTGTCTAAAATTAATTTGGCAATTGGATTTAAGATTTTAATGATGAACCATAAGACTTGTGAATCTATGACTTGTAGACTAATGAGAGTGGAGAGTGGCCATAATGCTGATTCAAAGCTAAATTCAATGTATCATTCTAGCTTTCAAGGTTAGAGGTAGTTAATTAGGGCATGTTTTGCAGCCTTAGGATCTGCTCACCTTGATGTTACTGAGTTAACCAAATTAGATTAAGAAAAGATTCCAGATGTCGCCGAAGGCAGAAATTACCATTAGAAATGGATATGATCATGTAGAAGATAATTATTAACAACTACTGCTGCTAATGGTGCTTCTACAAGCCGTAGAATAAAGGGATGGACTCTCATGAAAACTTTCTTTTTTCCATAACTGTGAGCCAGAGCCTAAAAAAAAAACAGTTTTTCAATTATCTGAACTAATCAGTTGTCCAGTGACAGTCAGAAGCTAACTTTCCATTTCTATCCATCAATGTTTTGTGTAAACATTTGGGTGTTCTTTGAGTTGGAGAATACTGCATCTTCAAAGTTCACATGTTCTCTACTGAATTTTGATTTGAAGTTAGTTAAATGTTAGTGATAGT